CCACCTGAAGAAGTGGTTTTATCAGAGTCCAGATGTACAGATGTTCAAAAGGCTACTAGATGCATACTTGCAAGAACAGAATATTCAAGGATATAATCTTTCAATGTAGGGTAATAACTGCTTGATCCAAGGATAAATCTGACTGCCATTCTGGGTCAAGAAGGAATTTTTTTCCTAGCTTGTTGCAAAATTGTGCTTCAAACTGGGTTTTTTTGCCTTCTTTTGGATCAACAGCAAAAAACAAATGTGAGGAAGGCTGAACTTGATGGACGCAAGTCTCTTTTCAGCTATGTAAGAGGAAGTGCCTTCTGAAATTGCAATACTTACTACCTGCTCCCGGATCCTCAAAGACCATGACAACTCTCCAGCAGTACCAGAAGCTGGTACTATGGGACTTCTTACTGTGAAGGAACCCCTCTCTGGGGACTCTGAAATCGATGGATTTTGTTCTATGGATGGTGACTCCAACAGTGAGGAATATAACCTCAACAAAGAACCTGTTCTTAGAGGGGGGGTATTGTCATGGTTGCCCCAGAGGTGTCCAGCAGGGGATTTGAACCTGAGGCCTTATGCATCCCAAGCCTGACTTCCTGCCTCTAAGCCACTATTTCAGCTCATATATCAGCCTAAAATCCAATCTTGTGCATTTCACTATTTGTTTAATGGAACATTTATAAAGGCTAGTATTGTTCAGAATTAAATATTGTGTAGAAGTTTAATTAGAAACTGTGTGTTCTTTCAGGTTTTCCATTTACAGAGGGTTAGCACCTGCTTACTGGTTGCACTGTTCCTTGGTATCAAAGACTTTTAAGAAAAGAGTTGTCCTGAGAGCCAAAAGAATCTTCATAGTGGCAATGGCAAAAGCCAGTCCTGTCCACCACAAGTGCCTTTGTAAAGGCAGCAGATAGAGACAGTATAGGCAGAGTGGTTTATACATACCTCAAAGAAGTTGCACAGGCAGAAGGGTATATACCTACCTGGAAGGAGGAGGCATTGGCACAAGGGCCTGCACACTGAGACCAGCCTAGCGGTGGAGAAATATAGGTTGACCTCGGTCTTAGCAACAATTCCTTCTGGACAATGCACCTAGGAGAAAGGCTGCTGCCCGGGTCCCTATTGTCACATGACATTAAAAAGAAGCCTACAGAAATGTAGTAATGCAATCTGTGTATATTTGCATATTTTGCATGACCTTCTGCTAAACCTAGAAAACATCATCACTCATTCCATGTTTTATGCACATGCTTTGACCCAGCATGTGTGAGATTTTACTTGTTTTTTCTATTTATGTCACTACAACCTTAAAAAAAAAACATTTACTGTCAAGCTTCACAAGCAGGATATCACTTTGCAGTTGGAATACATCAAATATAAAATGCCAATGAAAGTAACTTGAAGCACAATTAACTGAGTAGCACATTGTGAAACTACAAACCTTTATCATAACTATAAATTTGAGTAAAAGAGTGAGAACAAAACCCTTGAGCAGTAGAAAAAAATACAAGCACTGTAGTTTAAGTGCATTATGAAATTAGAATAAAACACATGACATATACAAAACATAATAAATAGCTCAGAAGATGACAGATATTCGTTTTGTGCTTTCTCGTGCACTCATGTAGGTGATTACTACAGCATGAATGATTACTTAAGGGAAAATAGTGGGAAGTCAGTGCATTATTGGAAATATAGAGAATGTTCATCCCTTAATAGACAAAAGGAAGTAAAAGCTGTCACTCTGTGATGGATACTCTTGATGTTCATTGATTTGATATAGTTGCTGTATAGCATAAAGTTGAAGCCTCTAAGATTATCCAGGGTAGAATGAAGATTGATAAAACAAAGGCATGTCGCAAATGTTCTACAAAATATAATGGTAAAACAAAAACAAATCTTTGCATCTGACCCTATATTTAACAAAATTAGAGGAAAAAAAATCATATTAAAATATGTGAAAAGACCTACACACAGGGTTGGTGCAACCGTTAGGCAAATAAGGCATTCACCTAGGGCGCCGGCCTGCTGGGGGCATCCACCGCGATATTTCTTAGTGGGTTGCCCCTGTCCTGGGCCACAGCGCTGGGCTAGCAGCTCTTTAGTGCCCCTCCTCCCAGCACCGGGCCGATCCTTCAGGTGGGGGCGCTGAGTGGAGCCCTGTCACAAGGGGCTCAGGAGGTGGCATCCTTTTTAGGTATCGCAGAGCAGAAACCTGCTTACCTGGATGGCAGATGCCTGCTTTGCTGATAATTGCCAGAGGAGCGGGGGAAGGAGAAGGCAAGCAAGTGAGAGAGGCTGAGTGAGGCTGAGGGCAGTGAGGGAGGCTGTTCTTGCAACTTCTTACTCCTCCCTCGCACATCCTCTGTGATGCCTGGAGCCGGAATATGATGTAATTTTGGCCCCGGCATACGAAAGGAGGAGTGAGGAGCTGCCCCTCACTGGATCCCAGGAAGTTAGGGAGGCTGGATGGGCCTCAAAAAAAAATTTGTGTGAGTGTTTGACTGTCAGTGAGTGTCTGTAGCGGAGCTGCAATGCTGAAACTGTATATCTCCGCTGTAATCCTCTGGAGCTGGAAGGGACATACAGTTCTGGGAGTTGACTGATTTCTATTAGCCCACACACGGCTTTTTATGCACAGCTCCATAGTATGGGGTCTCCAGGACAAGTTTACAGGGAATTTTCCCAAGATGCACTGGGTCTGACAGATGATTGAGCTGGGAATTTTAGAAAACAAAATGATCTCTCCGTTACATAAACACCCCAAAAACATAATAAAACAGCACAGGAACCCCACAATTCTTAAATCCCCGAATAGCCTGAATCTGAGTGCACAACATATCCGAAAAACACTGGTTTGGTGGAACAAGATCGTTATTCGGGAGAAGATTTCACCTGCTGGCCACAAGGTTTTTCCCCAAAAAAGAGTTCCAGAGAATCGAGGGCTGTAGCTGGTCTTGGTCTGCACGAACACAGACGAACACTCCACCTGGTTCTTAGGTATCAAAAGCTCCCCCCAGTTGGTAGATCATATCTCCCAAACGTTGTTCGTGTAGTTGTTCAGGAACGTATACAGGCAGCAGTACCATCTTGACCGGGGTTCGCGAGAATGTGTAGCCGAAATTAGTTCCACACACTCGACGACCAAGTACCACTGCCTGCGTTCAGGAGACAAAATGATGGCCACCCAGGGAAACAACTCAAGTAGGTTAACAGCAAAGGGTGGTCGGTGTTCTAAGTCAATAATAGGAGGAACCACACACTTTCTGTTTGGTTCCTGAACAGGGGGATACAGATTTGTTCGCAAGAACTCAATATGGATTCGGGCAACCACAGAGACTGATGCCAGGTCCGCCACAGTGTCTGTCTGTGTGTTTGTCTGTCAGTGAGTGTGTGTGTGAGTATGTGTGTGTGTGTGTGTGTGTATGTCTGTCTGTCAGTGAGTGTGTGTCTGTGAGTGTTTGTGTCTGTCAGTGACTGAGTATGTGTCTGACAGTGAGTGTGTGTGTGAAGTAACAAGGAACACAGGCGACACTCCAAAGGTCTAAGATGGTTCTGCTTATTAACCCCTTAAGGACCAAACTTCTGGAATAAAAGGGAATCATGACATGTCACACATGTCATGTGTCCTTAAGGGGT